GATCTATTCAGAACATTCCACCCTATAATAGTAGAATATACATTCAAGGGCACATGGAACATTCTCCAGAATAGATCACTTATTAGGCCACAAAACAAGTCTCAACAAATTAAAAAGTCATACCAAACATCTTTTTTGACCACAACACTATGAAACTAGAAACTAATTACAAGGAAAACTCGGGAAAGAACAAATACACACAGGTTAAATAACATGTTACTAAACAATGAATGGGTTAACCAAGAAATCAGTAAAAAAAAAAAAAAAAAAAAAAAAAAAAAAAAAAAAAAAAAAAAAAAAAAAAGTGGAAACAAATGAAAACAAAAACTGAGATGCAGCAAAAGCTGTCCTAAGAGGGAAGTTTATATCAATAGAAACCTACTTCAAAAGCAAGAAAAAATCTCAGATACACAACCTAACCTTACATCTAAAGGGGACTAGAAAAAGAAAAACAAACAAAATCCCAAACCAGCAGAAAGAAGAAAATAATAAAGATTAGAGCAGAAAGAAATGAAACAGAAATTACAAAAACAATGTAACAGATCAATGAAACCAGGAACTGATTCTTTGAAAAGTTCAACAAAATTGATAAACCTCTAGCCAGACTCATAAAAAAAAGAACTCAAATAAACAAAAACAGAAATGAAAGAGAATAACAATCAACACCACAGAAATACAAAGAACTGCAAAAGAATATTATGAAAAATTACATGCCAACAAATTGGACAACCTAGAAGAAATGGATAAATTTCTAGAAACATATTAACCTCCTAAAACTGAATCAGGAAGAAACAGAAAATTTAAACAGACTGAATCAGTAATCAAAAAACTCACAACAGGGGGGCCTCGGTGGCTTGGTCAGTTAAGTGTCCACCTTTTGATTTCGGCTCAGGTTGTGATCTCATGGTTCATGAATTTGAGTCCTGCATTGAGCTTTGCACTGACAGCATGGAGCCTGCTTTGGATTCTCTCTCTCCCTCTCTCTCTCTGCCCCTCCCCAGCTCGCTCTCTCTCTCTCTCTCTCTCTCTCTCAATAAATAAATAAATAAATAAATAAATAAATAAATATAGGGACGCCTGGGTGGCTTAGTCGGTTAGGCGTCTGACTTCAGCTCAGATCATGATATCACAGTCCGTGAGTTCTAGCCCCACATCTGAGCTGTCAGCTCAGAGCCTGCTTCAGATTCTGTATCTCCCTCTCTCTGCCCCTCCCCTGCTCATGCTCTGTCTCAAAAATAAATAAAAACATTAAAAATAATACTAAATAAATAAATACATAAATAAATATAAATAAGCGTATTAAAAAAAACCCTCCCAACAAACAAAAGTCCAGGACCAGATAGCTTCACAAGTGAATTCTATCAAATATTTCAAGAAGAGTTAATAACTATTCTTCTCAAAGTATTCTAAAAGTAGAAGAGGGAGAAAAGCTTCTATGAGGCCAACATTACCCTGACACCAAAACCAGATAAAGACACTATACAAAAAGAAAACTACAGGCCAACATCTCTGATGAACATCCAGAAAATATTAGCAAGCCAAATTCAACAGTACATTAAAAAACTCACTGACCAGGATCAAGTGGGATTTATTCCTGGTATGCAAGGGTGATTGTTTTGCAAAACAATCACTGTGATACATCACATCAGCAAGAGAAAGCATAAAAACCACTTAATAATTTCAACAGATGCAGAAGAAACATTTCACAAAGTACAACATCCATTCATGATAAACCCTCAACAAAGTAGGTTTAGAGGGAACATACCTCAACATAATGAAGGCTATATATGATAATCCCACAGCTATGATCACACTCAATGGTGAAAAACTGAAAGCTTTCTCCCTAACATCAGGAACAAGACAAAGATGTCCACTCTTACTACTTTTATTCAACATAGTACTGGGAGTCCTAGCCACAGCAATCAGACAAGAAAAAGAAATAGAAGGCATTCATATTGGTAAGGAAAAATGAAAACTTTCATTATTTACAGATGACATGATACTATACATAAAAAACCCTAAAGACTCCACCAAAAAACTACTTGACGTGATAAATGAATTCAGTAAGGTCACAGGATACAAAATCAATATACACAAATCCACTGCATTTCTATACACTCATAATGAAGTAGCAGAAAGAAATGAAGAAAACAGTCCCATTTACTATTTAACCAAAAATAATAAAATACCTAGGAATAAACCTAACTAAGGAAGTGAAAGACCTGTACACAGAAAACTATAGAACACTGATGAAAGAAACTGAAGAGGACTATAAAACACTGATGAAAAAAACTGAAATGGAAAAATATTCCATGCTCATGAATTGGAAGAACAAATATTGTTGAAATATCCATACTACCAAAGCAATCTACAGATTTAATGCAATCCCTACCAAAATGCCAGCAGCATTATTTTACAGAACTAGAATAATACTAAAATTTGTATGGAACCACAAAAGACCTCCAATAGCCAAAGCAATCTTGAAAAAGAACAAAACTGGAGGTATCACAATCTCAGCTATCAAGATGTACTACAAAGCTATAGTAATCAAAACAGTCTGGTATTGGTCAAAAAACATACACATAAATTAATAGAACAGA